CTCTTACTGATCCTTCACCATCGTCCCACTGCATACGTAATTCTTTGAATAAGCAGCCAGTGATACTTGTTATAAATCTCAGCATAAATATTCACCATTCAACTTGAGAAAAGTGTTTCTCGTCAGCTGTAGAGTTAAACTCTCTCAGGTGAAAAGTTTCTGAGTGACTTAACAATTAAATAGTGCACCCAGCAAAATTCAAGAGTTTTCTTTAAGAGCGTTAAAGTTTAAGTAAGTCCGTTAAATCGAAAGCGATTTCATGCCTTATACGTCAAACGAACACCTTAATACATTCTTTATACTAGACATGAAGCAAAAAACGAATGCCTCAAAACCGTGTTAAAAGAATTTTCGCAAGTAAACTCATGTCTGAATAAAACTGTCTGCTTATTCCTTCGAAACTATCACTCACTCCATTAACGAGTCTCTCCTTCTAAAAGCCTCAACCAAACAATTCACGATCACTGATTCATATTTATTACTACCTTTGGTTTCATCATTGTATGTGCTGTCACCTTTAGAGTGTATGATATTTGTCTCTGAATACGTGAACCAATGCTTTTTTCAGGTACAATCCTTGGGACAGTCGATAAGTACGCAGTGAATGAAGCTGCATGGACAGCTTCTCAAGCTGCATTGGTAGCATGTGAACACTGTGGGCGCACCTTCAATCCGGATCGTTTGCAGATACACCAACGCAGTTGTACAAAGGAGAAACCCGCTAAAAGAGTCACCACTACTAACATTAAGAAGCCATAGATCTACCAACCTTTACTGCTGAACAAATATGAAAATGCCATCATCGCTAAGCACTCTTTTCCGTCCTGAGTCTACTCTCATTTACTGGTTTTCTAGGGTATCTGTTCCCTACAGGGTATTACGCAACATTCCGATCTCAAATTCTGCACGTATCCCTTTAAAAACATCCAATCGCAGTCGAAAAATATCATTCGTGCACTGAATTTTCATGCTGTCGATGGCCTCACAATGATTCTAAGTGCGGACAAGAAAACCATCAGAACAAGATGAGCTTAAGCGAAAGAATGGGTTCCGAAGTAGTATATTGGGCAAAAATACTAACAGGCCGGAGAAATTTAAATTTTAAAAAAGAAAATCAAATGATTTCTTCACTAACAGAATGGTTTTATTTGACTTGATATCTATGTATGTATGTATCTCTGTGATATAAACTGAAAAGAGTTTTGCATGAAACAACTGTGCTCACATTTACTGCCCAAAAGTGCACATTGAACATCCATGAACAATAACTGATAATATCAATAGTAATAACATTAATAGAAACAATAACTAGAACAATGATCAGAGCCATAGTAATAATTACAATACGATATTAGCAAAACACAATCAAAACAACAGTATTTCGAAGATTTTCATGCAATCGCATCAAAGAAAAACGAAAACAAATTCGAATTAGACGAGAAGCAATCAGAAGTAAACAATTGAAAAGTAGACGACGAGAACAGTGAACAAGAACCAAAGAGTCATCAAAATAGTTTATGAGGTCAGATCGATGTTGGGTGCGATAACAAATAACTCTTCACACATCACAACTTTATCCTATCACTAACTTATCACCAGATTCTCTGGCAGTCAAACGTCACGAATCATTTGATCATTGATAAAGAACGTTGACAAAAAATCAGCTGTAACAAAATTTCTTTTCGGATCAGTCCCAAATGATCAACAACGCATCACTCAAACTATTGCTCAGAAACTCACCAAGAAACCAACAAACATCACGCTGTGATCCTGATCAAACTCAACACCTTCTCAATATTCCGGGAGGGACTGATGACAACAATGAGAAAATCCCCTTTTCCATCGGTTCGTAAACCGTTTTCACTATTACGACGATGAATTTCCAGTCACTATGGAGTAATCATTGAGCATCTATCGCTACAGGTAACGCTGAATAATAAAGAGCTCAGAGTTATTGCGTTAAAAGGTAGAAAAATTAATGAACAATGATGATAATGATCTGCAACTGGTTACAATACATAATACTACATCAATAGTAATGACAACAATAATTATAAATAGTCACATGTGATGGTATAGAACAATTACAAGAATATTTCTGCAATGCCAAACGTAACCAGACTAAACGGAAACTCCAGTTTCTCGTCTATGAAGACAAATCCCATCTGAAGTTTTTGAAATGCCCCAAAATTTTGGTTCATTCCGTCAAATATGAATTAATTTCCTCACACATCTCGAGTTTTCTGACTTCATGCTATTGATGTGAATTCCTCGAGATTTCCAGGCCGTCTCAGATTGTCTTACAGCATACGTTTGGCATGGCATAACAACTTTTCGGTCATCATTCATCATACAATCATTTCATTATAAGCACATTCAAGAATGGTACATTGAAATATTGGATTATCAAAACATCGTGTTATCTACAACAGTGAACTGGACAAATAATCACCTTTTTATATCACTTGTTTTTATGTACATATCACCTTATCATAACATTCAATCTTATGAAGATTCTATATTACCACGCTATAACATACATCATATCAATTAACGTCTACTGTCTCAAGCCGACTGGAAACCGACTTACCCTCACCTTCCGGTTTAAGTCACCTGTGGAAGACTGAAAATGTAATCCAGAAGAAGACACACATTTTAAGCCAGAATCCCTTCTGCAGACTACATTTCGGTCATTAATCAATGGGATTTTGTCNATTATATCACATACTAGATATTATATTATATTACAGGAAACACTTCACTATCATCATTACCATTAGTATCGTCATCATTTCATGATGTATCCAACAAAGCATAAGACGAAATGAACAGCCGAAATAAATTACTCGTCTTCGACGGACGCTATTCGCAACCTCTTCTCGTCCGGTGAATAGTCACTGGTGGTGTCGTAATCGTCCTCGAACACACGATTCATCCCATTTGTGTTCTCTGTCAAAACTTTCTCCTCTTTCGGATTCAACTCCTCCGAATCGGTCGACAATGAACCAGCTTTAGTGCCATGTAAAGGAGCACTGCTTGCATGACTATGATCATTATCATTACTGTTTTTAGAACTGTTGTTATTATTGACGTCGGAGTTAGTGTGATGTTTTGAGTCGGACGAAGAATTACGTCTGTCTGATGAGCCAGGTCTGGAATTATTCACAGCAGTCAGGGTCGGCGGCGAAGCTAGCGAGATTGCAGACGTATTTGCGGGAGATCGGCATGCAGCCGGGGATATCCTTGACCTTGGTGGACTTTTCGATGAGCAACGATCCGCTTTAGTGGCCTTTGTGGATCCGTGATAACTTAGATCGGTTGAGGTGGCGCTTGTTCGCGCCGGGCTAGCCTTACGAGTCGTTGCCGAAGTACTCGCAGGACTGTTGATTTTGGTGGTTAGCGGTGAGTGGGCGATACTTTCCGAATTAGTGGATGACGCACTGATCGAAGCAGAAGTTGTTGAGGCGACATTATGAGTGGAGGATTTGGCGTGAAGAGCCGAATTCTGAATTCGCTCTGAGGCTTGTCGCACTACTGAAAACATGAATAATTGCTCATTTCTCTGTTGTTTTCCATAATGAATAGATCCTCTAGCATTACGATTCTCAATTGCGAAGTGCAAAATATTTCAGGATTACTACAAAATCTAGGAACGCTCAAGAACATGTCCGTTCTCAGAGACTGACCAATCTGAACCAAAGAGATGACTGAATTATCTGTTGGTCGTATGCTTGATTCAAAGAGTTCTATTACTCATTCGAGAAATCAAACGAAAAATCACCAACGAAGCAAACTCTCACCATCGACTTCCTTAAGTGAAGCCGAGTGTCGACGAACATTTCTGTCAACGCTCATGTGATGACTGCTTGGCGGTGGAGGGGAGGTAGCGTCTCGATATTCACGACTATTTTCTAACTGCTCACGAGCACGACGGAAGATCGGATCTACGGGCCGTGCCGAAAAGTCTATCTGGAAAAGAAACCCAAAA